TCAAGCTCAAGTTTCCGTTTCAAACTCAAAATCCCTTTACGCTAGTACGTCATACCCTGGAGTTCTGGAAGCACATTCTTGGATGAGCGGCATGAGAAATTCAGCGGGTTATTACCTACCACAACGCAAAATAATCGTGTAGAGGAGAACGAATATGGTAAAGTTGGAAGCACACATCTGAAAAAGATGCGCGGATTCGTTGAAAGTACGCGATTAGATAACCGGGATACTCTACTACAAGAATATTCGAAATATATTTACATTAAGCCAGGGCATATGTAACTATTTCCTACAATTTTGGTGGCAGTAAATATTTTGTTGGTGGTATAGTTAGATTACTGCTTCCTGCCCTTATAGTCAGTAGGGTGGATGATTAAAAGTACCTCCCGTAATGTAGTACAAGCTGCTAAGGAAGACAGAAACAAGTCATAATTAAATATCTAGTTGGCAGTATCATCGATCATGGATCGATTTCCATAAAGTATAGGACTCTGACAAAAAAAAAATCAAGACGGCTTCCCATATGAGCTGAATTATCAAATGGCGAAATATTAACCCATCATCAAATAATATCATATCTCTGTACGCTTGATACGAGAAACAAAGCACCTTTTAAAAAAGTTCTCGGAGAATTTAGAAGTGCAGAATAAATAGATGGTTGTTTGTCTACCTATACCCCATAAATTCACTTTTCCGGTGAAATGCAAGCAATATATTTGCGCCTTATAAATCATATCCAGAGCTTCGCAGCTGGAATTCATTTTTATAGCTGACGGTTCATGTAATTGTCAAAGGCAAGTTCTGAGAGCATAAAATGGAATGACGTCCGACCTACTTAAAATATCTTCCTGTAAAAAAGCGATATATACCAAGAGTAGGTATGTCCCATTCCCGGGCATTATTATGCCCGACAAGTCCTGACAGTACGGTGAAAATGGTATGAATCTTCAAAGGTCAGAACGATTGACTTGACACTCGAGGGGCAGCGCCTCTTGTGCAACATTTTAATGTTGCTAATCTTGATGTAACTGGTTGGAAATCAGTCCTAGCAGAGTGACGTCTGTTGAAGATAATACTTGGTTCGTTAAGCAGGACAACCGTGACAATTTTATATAAAATATTTTGAAACATCACATTTGTGTCTCGTAAAGTAGTCAAGAAGAACTTTCAAAGCACTGATGTTATTAGACCAAGATTATACGAAAATGGCGTCAAGTCCATATAGGATTATGTTTGGCACAATTTAGCACCTCCGAGGAAAAGGTTAACTAAGAAAATGTATAACAAAACAACTAAATGGAAGTCAGCCAAGCATGCCTGTACAATAGGTTCATAGTCCCTACACATTTGATAATGTTGCCAGCCAGCAGTTGAATTCTGTCAAAATATACGGGTCATTCTGTTTTATGGTCAAATGTACGGGGAAATGTATGGTGTATGCGATGGGTCCATTAGATGCGTGGAATTATCTAGGTTGGAAGCGTATATACACAGGGTGCTTCAAATTCGACCCTCACCATTGGGATCGCGGAAATTGTAAGAGATACGGAGTAGCTTAAATGAGTACAAAGTTGTGTATTTAGGTGATCAACAAAATGCCGCGTAGGAAGCTTCGAAATTCTGAGTACTTTCGGAGAGGGACGGAAAAAACGGATTTTCCTAAAATCGTTTGAATTTTTTCCTGACTTAATTTGTAGTGAAATTTCAAAATAAATTGCACATTAACATTGCCACTTTTTCTTCTCTACAAGAAGGCATAATTAGGATTGACGTTTCGTCTCTTGTCCTCCAGCATCAACCTTATTATTTCTTATCGACACCATATTGGATCTTTACACAGATGCATAGAGTTTTTAATTCTGATTTGAAAAATGTATAATACCTCATAAAATAACATTTCCAAACCTTAGTTATATAAAAAAAACAGAATAACCTAGGAGGTCTTGAAATTACCAGATAGTTATTTATTCACCTTTATTTTTTTCTGAACTTATTCGAGATAGGATTCCAAAAAACATTCCATCTTGTCATTGTTACTTATTCTCCTCTACAAGATGGCGGAGACATTTCTTTTTTCGACCTCCGTCACCAACTTTGGTTTTTCATATGAACGCTATATTGGAATTTTGTGCATTTAAATGGACTTTTCAGTCCTAAATTCAGTACTGTATTTCCTTAGTTGGCTATGAATTTGTTGTTGGATTTGCTGTTCGATTTATTTCTCTTCTTCTCAGTCTGCCAAACTATGTTGCTATGTTTAATTTGAGGTCTGGTCTGGTATACAGAACAAATGAAATCTGATAATTTCAAGGCCTATCTAGGAACTCCTGTTTTTCTGGAATAACTGAGGCTTGGCAATGTCCATGTACAACAAATTATGTATACACTTTTGTAATCAGAACTTAAAACTCTATTCATCAAGTCGAAAATCCAATATGGCGTCCATTAGAAAAAATAAACCTGACGCCGGAGGATAAAAGATCAAACGTCATATTGAAATTATGATTATGCGTGATTTTAGAGGAAAAGAAGTGGCAATGTTAACGTATAATTTACTTTGAAATCCCACTACAAATAAAGTCAGAAAAAACTTTTTGGGAAAATTCGCTTTTTCCGTCTCTCTCCGGAAGTACGTTGAATTTCGAAACTTTCTCAGCGGCATTTTGTTGATTATCTAAATACGCAATTTTTCCCACAATTAAGAGCTTCGTATCTCTTGCGGTTTTTGAGATCCCAATGGTAAGGGTCGAATTTGAATCACCCTGCATACTACGACCAAATAATTGAGATATACCGTTCCCAACCCCTAAAATCCCCAACTTAGAATTTTACTTCCCTGCACAAATTTTTATAAAAATGAGCATATAAAACAACAAGGGGTCGAGTAGGTTGACTCTGCACTTTCCACGCAACGCCGGTTTGTCAAAAAAAGAAGACGACGATTTTTATATTATTTTTTCGTTTTTGTCCTTCTTCTCTGTCGCTACTGGAACGATTTTCAAAAACAATAAAGCTTTTGCAGTCCCTGGCACAGTAGTAACATTGTGTAAACGTTTCATACAAATCCTAGCCATTTTTCTCAAATTATAGGCGGATATTAGATTAGCGGACATACCGACGGACCGACCGACGGAAATGAGTGACAGTGTATTCCGTGATATATGTCATGTAACAGCCAGAAAACATAATTCACTCTTCTATTGTTTGCAATAATACTTTCCCGCGAATTTACATATAAAGTAGGACAGCCTTATGGTTTTGTGATAATATTCACAAAATAGAACTGGTAGACTGTAACGGGTCCATTTTATCTGTCCTAGATTCACGTGTCATTCGCTCTTTCTCGTGGTCCTTGGTTTAGGTTTACTTCGAAGTTTACTCTTCTTACGTTCACACGTTGAATTTCCCACGAGGCGTTACTGCCACAAGTGTGACATAATTTAGCATTACACGAAACTCATTGCCGGCCATCACGTCTTGCTAAACAACGCAGATAAAAGATTCGGCATGGTTGACTGAACTACTAGGTTTTTTCCAGAGTTTTTAACTAGGTCACATCTGTGTATTGGTAATGAGATGATGACTTGATATGATTCGCGGTATACTACATTGTCTTCTTATTTGCTAGCCTTGAGTATTGTAAGTGAAAATGAAAGTAAAATACTGTCTGGAATGGAGCAATCATACTCATTTACTCAACCTGAAGTAACCAAAAATTGCCAAGTTCAATTAGGCCAGTTCTAACACGCACAGATAATTGAGTTAAAGTATAAGTAAGAAAAGCCTGTTGGGATTTGATTTCTTGAGGCTTGCTTTAAAAACCATATGCAAAGGGAAACGTGAGAGAATGAGGGAATAAAATAATGCCTTATGAGTTGTTTTTTAATTGTGGTTTGAAATATGCTAAAGTATAAAAATATGTATTGGAAAAAGATCTACATCGCTTTATTAACCTGTTGTGAGCCCCCAAAACACACATTCCAAATTTTCTTCAGCTAACTGTTGACCCACAGGGCGCGATCATCTTGTCCACAGTGGGTTTACATTTACATTGGAAGATAGGGTCTCTAGAGGTGGTTGTAACCCTTCATTAGTGCTCTCAGTACCTGGTTCATTATTCTTTTATCTCGGTCTATGAAGCTGCACACCTACCGGCAGTCGCAAAAAAGGTGAATGTGCGTCTACTTTAAAGCACACGTTCCGGTCACATGAGTCTTAGTCACATTAGCTTTTTTCGCGGGGCGAATCCCGGACGCCTTCATCTTATCATTGCATGCGCACTAAAAAAAAGACCGTTCGCGGTCACAAAACTTATTACTCGGGATTAAAAATTCGTTGTTCGTGGTACAACTGTGTTAAGTTCTGAACGTGCTCGTAATGTGTTCGACAGATCCGATGATAGACGGAGGGATTTAAAATTCAGAACAAATCCTAACCTATAATTCTGTGTCTTTGTGATATAAACAATTATTTATCTTAAATCTACTTTCAAGATGATGCCAATGATGCATTTAAGTTCAAGTGACGAAGATTTGGAAGAATTGAACGAATTGTTTGAAGTTCCAAAAAATGAGAACTTTTGTGAGGAAGATGTGTCCCAATTCAACGATCAACATTTTTTGGGGCATTTTAGGATAAGCAGGGAAGTAGCAACCCAATTATCAAACAGATATGAAGCTTCGCAATATTATCACCACCAAAAAGGTGACTCTGAAAAAATCAGCCCTTTTAAAACAGTTGTGGCCCTTTTATGGTATGCAAGCAATGAAGCTGCAAGCTTAAGGGATGTATCTGACCGGTTTGGGATTACGATTAGCTCTCTTCATAAAATTGTAAAGAGATTTACGTATTTTTTATCCAATTTATCTGCGGATTTTATAAAACGGCCAACTAACGAGGAGAAAATTGAAATTGAAAGCCACTTTAGGCAAGACGAATTTCCTGGCATTATTGGCGTCATTGACGTCATTGACACATTGACGCATTGAAATTGACAAGCCACAGGATGATCCAGATTCATACCTTAACAGGAAGCACTTTTTTCGATCCAGGTAAGAAAGCAAAATTTTAAATTTCAATTTAAATGTTATTCAAGTATGATAATATCTTAAATGTTTATATAATATATTTTATTTTTTACAGGCAAGAGTTGTTTGCGATCATAAAAGGAAAATAGGGGATATATTTGTCGGATACCCAAGATCCGTACATGACAGTCGAGTGTTTCGGACATCACCATTATTTGGAACACTTCAAGGAAAATGTGGAAACCACTTTATTATTGGAGACAGTGGTTACCCTTGTTTACAATATTGCCTAACTCCATTTCAAGATAGAGGTAATTTGACTCGTCGCCAAAGAAATTACAATTATCTTTTTTCGAAAAATAGATATGTAATTGAGCACTGCTTCGGCATACTCAAACAAAAATTCAGACAACTTTACCATTTGAAATTAAGAAATGTCGAATTATGTGTTCACTTCATAAGGGCCTGTGCTGTATTGCACAACCTTTCAATAGAAGACAATTTACATGATTTTTAGTTCCACCAGCACCAGAAGCACAGCATGAAGTAATTGTTGGACAAGCAGCGCGAGATGCAGGAAATGAAAATCAGGATGAACAAATTGGGATAACAAAAAGAAATGAAGTAATGAATAGCTTAAATTTCGTAATTTAGTATGTAATGTGTATGTATTTTTAGTAAAAGCTTTTTGAAATAAATTTAAAACAAGTAGTGTTTATTAATTAACTAAATAATGAAAAAATAAATAAACAAAAAACACAATGAAATTCTCTAACTAAAATAAAAACACTGTACAATTTAAAACTTAAATTATACTAATTTAAATTTGATCTAAATAAATAAAGAAAAACATAACGATATTCTCTTAAAATATGTAATTCAAAACTTAACATCTAAATTCTTTGAACAAAAAAATTAAACCTTTTAAAGGATATCAAGGTGTGGATTAGATCTTTCTAAATATTGTTTTATTAATTAATTATTTCCTGTAGAATGTCATTTTTTCTTTTTTTTTTGTTAATTTTCTCTCCTCAATTTCCAAAAGTTTGTTGTAAAATTCTTTTCTATCTTTCCGAATTTCAGATAAAATTGTAACTTTAAGCCTTTTATTTTTATTCATATTTGTAATCATTTGAGGAGCTGTTACATCAGTTGCCTTACTGCTGGTGCTGAGTAGCTCCTTGGTTTTAGGAAATTCTACCAGATTTTCCTTTTCAGGATTATCTCCTGTAACCACCTGTGTTGTTGGATGAATAACTGTGTCGGATGACAATAATACAACAGGATAAATGTTTCGTTTTTTACCCAAAATATCTTCCATTGCTTCTGCATACTCAAACTCTCTTCTTCCTCTTCCAGTTTTAATGTTGTTGTCCACATATTTCTTGAACATTCTCTCCAGATGTTTCCATCTGTTTTTACAATTTGATCCTGTTATATTTTGATTGGTTTTTTGTCTTAACTCCTTAGCAATTTCTTCATACATTTTTTTTTAATTTTTAATTTTTACAGACCCAACCAAGTCTCTATATTTTTTATATAGGTCCAAAAAAATAAGAGTCTTGGTGTAATTCTATTTAAAGGATTCCACTTCATCCTGGTGTTGAGAACATGAAGAAAATAGCAGAAACTCTGACAGATCTAACAAAATAGTAATTTTTTAATTATTTATTTATTGATGAGTTAAAAAAAACTTACCTCCTTTATCAGACATTTTTAAAAAAATGGGCAACACACTTGCTGGACTTGATAAAAAAATACTTAAATTCAAATAATAAAAATCAAAACAAAAACTCTAACTTTACTTTTGTGCAGAAAGAATTTGGTAGGTTTTGCTGTTCGCCGACATTAAAAATTCCGAATTAATTACATCACGCGCTTGCGCATTTCAAACATATCGGAGGTACTTTATTTGTGTTCGGAATATGCTTTAGATTAGCTCCGCGAAAAAAGCTATTTTCGTAGAAACTAGTCAGAGTAGCATAACTTCAATAATCTTAGATACCATTTATATACTATATAATAATAATAATATAGGTTAGAAGTATTAATAGTGCTACGGTTCTGATATAGCGTGGCAGCAAGTTATGAATATGGTGAATGTGATTATGTTATTCTGATCAGAGCTAATTTCACTAAAAGCCGATAATGACATGACTTTTCAGTCTCCGAGAGAGAGAGATCAATTTCTGTTAAACTGACTGTATTAGATAACCTATTTGTCATCTCGGGTTATCTAATGCAGTTTAAAAAAGAGGGGGCGAAATGTGTCGATAGAAGAGTCGGAAATTTTAAGATAATGTATTCCGTGCCGTCGAAAATCTAACTTTGCTTGGATGCATAGATTAAAAAAAAGATATCTCAAACATCGCTTTTTTATTTACTCGTCTATTTGTTCTAGGCAAATGCATCATGTACGGGCTCATCATAGAAAACATGGTGGAGTACATAAAGCAGACATACGGAGAAGACAAATGGGAAGAGATACGGAGAGCCGCCGCCGTAGATCAACCCAGTTTCAGTACCCACCAGGTTTATCCTGAAAGCTTGTTACCAAGGCTGTCTAAAAAATCTGTACAGGTAAGCAACCTGGTAGCCTATTAGCAACAGAGTTCGACTGTTCTTTTCTTACCGAGCGGTCGACTACAACAGAAACAGCAGATTTATCAACTTTTTCAGCCAAATGTTCCAAATATTATAAATGATATTCTCTAATATCTTAAGAATGTAATGAAAAACACTGCCGTTCAAAAGATTCTAGACTCTTGACGATTGATACTCATAACAGAAAAAAGAAATAAAAGGAGGAATCTACAGAAGAACAATATTTAAATGTAATACGATTTCTGTTTATATTAGTCCTCATATGTAAATAATTACAGGAAGTGCAATAACAACACACTATACATACAGGTACACATTCTTTTTCACTTTCAACATTTTCGACAGCTCTCTTGTAGTAACGAACTTTTCGACGATCAATGCTTTAAGCTGCTTCTATATATTTTTGAAGGCATTTCAGTGTGTCTTTTATTAGAGGTACATTGTTGTATTACACGTCAATCAAGTTCGTCTCAAAGGCACTCGGACGGAATAAGATCAGTGAACTAAAATCGGGACTTCAAGATACGTAATGTAATTGTGTTGATTGTATAAATCCTGGTCCCCTAGCTCTTCTTTCCGCGGCGACTTTTTGAAGAAGAATGTTGTGATCTTTTTTCCAATAAGAATTCCGCCAATTCGACGCAATGGATAGGTGATCTTGAATGAAAGCGATTTAAGGGTCATTATGATCCATGTTTTTGTTAAGATTGTGCAACGGGTCATCGCCGGTTCGCGACCGCACATATTATATATGTTTTTTACCATTAATTTTTGGTTTTACACATGAGATCAATATTTCCGTCAACACTGCCAACAAATAATGTTTATCTAGTTGACTTTACTGGCTCAAAATCAGAAAAGCTTTTGGTGGACCGAAAACGTGTTTTGGAGGGAGAAATCCAAACTTGACAATTCCAGTTAATGATGAAAATCATGAGCATGAAACAACGGTCTCCACCTACAACATTCCATCTGCAGAGAGCATGGAGATGCTTCCGAAATAATCTTCAAAGTTCATTAAATGGTCTAACTCTATTGCACATAATTGATCGAATCCTAATGGAATAAGATATCACAAGGTTTCTATTAACATAGTGCTTTCCACGGGGGGCAGGTTTATGGGGCTGGAATTCGCTATGCAACTAAGCCAACCATCAGAACCGTTCAGCTAGATTATGCAAAATTTTTTGCTTAAAAAACAATTAGATTACAGTTATGAAACCTGGAGCTCCCTCTTATAAGTCTCCAATCTCAATCTGATCAAATTTCCTTGGGATGAACTTGATTGGGGAATCATAATACACTGTCATCCCACAAAAAGGAAAAGACATCGCAGGATGTTGAAACATATGTTCACTAAAATGTTATGAAGTATCACTAAAGTATTGAAAGTGAAAATAGGATTGTTTAACCAAGGAAATGTGCAGATATAAATTACGTTACAAAATCTGTTATTCTTAGGTACATATCATACCACAGAGAAAAATAGACAATAATTCCATTCGCTTATCGTTTCCTTTTCATGAAACGTGAAGAATTATGCTTGGAAAAAGTTCACTGGAAGCCACACACACCTGAGCCATCTTCATTATGTTTTCTAAATAGTAATAATAATAATAATAATAATAATAATAATAATAATAATAAAAATAATAATAATAATAATTCAAAGTCTGGTTATCACTGCTACACTAATTTATAGAAAAATTAATAACCACGTCGATAGCTTTTATTCCACCTTAATTCCGGGTTCGCTATCCATTTGTTCGATTGTGCGTTTAGACTCAATTGTGACTATCTGCTCCCGCCATCTGGTTAGGGATTTATTCCCGTATCGACAAGTTGAGACCCATTCCAGCATTTTTCCACTTCAATGGAATGTAGGTTTTTTCCTTGAAATATATTTTTCACGTAGTAATGACTCGCCCTGTAGAGATGGAAATACTTTCCAAGTAAAACGCATACTGTTGACCTTAATTTACTCAGACACTTTGTAATAACAGTGATTTCAGTTAACTTGCAGAAAAAACATGGAGATTTATCAGCATGAAAACCACATGAAGTTTCAGATGTAATACTTATCATCCACTTATTTGATGTTCACTCATACTTACGAAATAAAATGAAGCTGTGTCGAGTTATAGTCCATCACTTTACACTGTTACAAACTAAATTCAGTTTTCGCTAATTCTAAATTCTCCAAACGTTTTGTTCATCCGTCTGTATTGTTATTGTAGTTGCTAAAGTTTTTATTTCGGCCTGTACCGAACTTTATACGAACCATCAAATGAGTTTCATGAAATTTAGTCTAACAAAAAAAACTTATCAATCTCAGCAAAGGACATTCACCGTCTACACAGCCGTCCTTGCTGGGTCAGCGTTGCCAGGCAAATTTTCATTTGAGAGCAAATAGTCTATCAAGTCCAACAGGCAACCGGCTTAAGCGTCTTTGTCTTTTATTAAAAAACTTTGAAGCGACCTATCCAGAGGGTGATTAATTAACGACATGGTGGAGAACTTCGAGCATACGAACAATGTCGACGTTGCTACTCGTACATAAGCATGACAACTTTATCGATAAAGGGCTACCAGCAGTTGGTTACGAGGTCATAAAATATGAGCTTGTGAAAACGTGAGGCGTGAGCTGGTATCTTTAACTTCAAAGGCGACAGGCAGACACGCTTGAAGGACAACGTCCTTTTTTTATACTTACACCACACCCAGGGAAAGGGACGTCACACAGACTCTAGCGAGGGAAGACATTCTGGTCCCGCCTTAGAGATCTGCCGGATGGTACATCTAAGCTCAGACAAGCACAACGGCCATAGCAAAGAGAAACATTATCTTGAGACGGGATTCGAACCCGAGCAACTCACGGTGTCTGATTAGTATTCCCACAGCGTCTACCACTACGCTAACACGCTGCCTACAGTAATTCAGATTGCTGACTTAATGGGCTTATAAATAGTCAAATCATTATTTGCCTCGATGAAGAAACATTTCTCTACGCTTCACACTCTCGGCGATTTGCTTTAACGAATACATTTTTTGCTTAAAAATAATTTCGTATGTGGTGTTATCAATTTATTCCAATATGCGGTTTCACCGTGACTGAATTTAAAAATTACTATCTGCAGGCCTGCCATTAAAAATTGAAATTTGAAAAAACCCATACAATCTTTGGATTTATATGATTTATGATTTATATGGTCACCTTTCTTCTCTTAACTACAGGAGCAAAGTGACCAATCTTATTCATACTTTGCAGAAACATATGACAGTACAATATCTATGTCGTTCAATAATTTTAGGCATTTATATAGGTAATAACTAGCTTACTGAAGATAATTAGGGAAAATGACAAAATAATTAAGTCGCTGCCATGTTGTAAGTTGAAAGTTGTAGTAGTGACTAGTAAGTCAATGTATGGAAGCCAAGCAGGTTCTGTTGAACCATTTGGATACAACCATTTTGTTTGAAGCATACATTTGTAGTATGTGTTAGGAATGAAGCATGTTTAGCTTTTAAATATGCCTTAGAAGTTGAAATATTGTACTAAAGGTCTTATATCTTGGCGCTTTTTTATATGGAGGGTTTTACAAGAGAATAATCTATACATCTGAATATACAAATGCCAACCAACTGCACCAGAAAATTAATGATGCAAAAATAAAAATTATGGAAAACGCAAATTCATTTCAAAGACTAAAGGACAATTTTATTAGGTGTTGCTTGTGTATGGAAACATAACATGTTCTTTAAAAGTTAGTTAAATTAAATTATCTTCCGCATTTGTCGGTAAATCGCCATAAAGCTAAACACAATAGGTTCTGTAATTGCAGGTGGTAACGATTCTATTGCGTTTCTTACGTTTATCGCATCGCAACAACGAATGTAGCTTGATACACTACAATAAAATGGATAATGCAATACAATCTCATTTTTTTGCCGTCCTCCAAAGTTGAGGGATGGAAAAGATTTTTCACAAAAAAATGAATTTAAGATTTTTTGCGTTGATTTCTAATGAGCTCTGTTAAAAAGCGGCATAACCATTGTTAAAACTAACCAGTTAGCTCATCCCAGAAAAAAATCACAGCCCTAAAACTTAATGGTTTAGTTGTAACTGCGATTGAAAGTTCATTATCCCCTTTTATCGAAATTTCACACAATTGCAAATAACTCCTGAACTATAAAATTTCTGACCACACATCTAGGGGCTCATTCGATAGGTTTTGAGGTCCTCTATCACCCGACTTCTGTTGATCTACTACTAACTTTTCACACTGTATATGCACATCGCAGGAGCAAAACAGTTGGAAAACTGAGTGAAAACGCTTAGCTCGCAAGTGGTGAAAGAAGAATTAGAGAAGCTTTTGTTCTCTTACCAATAGCGCTACCAGTGTTTTCATTCAACTATGTATTTTTTACACGCTACTTGACATGCAAGCAAAAAGTGATGATTTAAGGTATAAATGAGTTCTAACCAGGCGTTTCTGGTTATCGTGGGCTGTCATATACAGTCATCCAAACACTATCAATCTAAGGACTGGAGCAAGGGCGTAGCACCGCAGTATCAGCCGTATCAATGGTGCAAAGCCCCAGCTTAAAGGGACTGACAGTCGCACGTAAACTTTTAGGGCGCCCATGGACAATACGTGAAACTTCATATCATCCAATGCTAGTGCTTATGTTTCTTTTGCAAAAATGTATACCCTCAATCACCGTTCTGGACTGTAAGAATTTCACTTTTAAAAAGAAGCCTATGCTTTCAAAAATAAAATTTGCTTCATACTTCACTCATCTGGCCAACTCAGAATATAGTGCTTTAGAAAAAAGGTTGGAATGTACATAGGAAAGAAAAAAATAACGATATTAGGTACGTGATGTTTATGAAAGAAGAAACTAGTCGTCACTGTTGCTAAAATGGCGCTATGACTGCAACCACTACCCTTCATGTACCCAGACAAGCTTTTTGT